CGGCAGTCGCACGGTCGAGCTCGAGCTGGACGCCGACCCGGACACGTTCGCCGTCGATCCGATGCCGCTCGACGACCAGACCCATCAGTGGGTGATGCAAATCATCTTCGGCGAACGCGGCGACAAGCTGGCGGTTTGGTGCGATGTGCCTCCCGCTGAAATCCGCACGGCCCGCCCTCAGGCCGAGACCGTCAACGCCAACCTGATCTTTGACCGCCTGCGTCTGGGCGTCAGCGACGACGCGTCCGCGTGGCTGTTTGACGACATCGTCTTGGCGACCTCGATCAACGCGATCGCCGAGGTCCAAGAGCTTCAATCCGCCAATGCCGCTAGGCGTTAGTTCTGACGGCTGAGGCGCTGGCACCGACACGCAGATCAGTCACCGTCAGACTGAACGACCTCTCTCGCCCCCAATCGGACGGCGCCTCAACAAGGCCCTAGAGGCCCATTTAAGCCAACAGATGGCTCACATCGGGGGAAACCCTTAGGCTAGCGGCGGGACGCGTCTACAGGCCGCCCTAGGGGTCTGTCGACGCCTGTCCACGACCACACTGGGCGTCTTAGTCCGTGCCCCTGCTGCAGCGTGGAGGACCCTCCGATCGGGGCGCTCCCCCTTCGCGGCAATCGAGCTCGCCAGTTGACGAAAGGTAAACGCGTCGCTGGCCATTCTCATGGAGATCCGAAGGCCTCCAACTTGCGTCAACGCTTCCTGCCGTACCAGTCACGGACGACGCCCTCGGCCTGTTTGCCGTAGATACAGAAGCCGCGGTTCCCACCGGCTTCATCGATCGGATACAGCCTTGCGGGCCAGTCCCACCAGGCGAAACCCTTGAACCACGGCTCGTCCCAAAAGGTCTCGAACATCGCCTCGTAGTAGTTGGCCTGTTCCCGCTCGTCGATCGGGCTGCCCAGCTCCGCGTCCGGATGCGACCAGGGGTAACGCGCACAACCACGGACGTTGGTGACGCCCGTTTCAATAAAGAGGATCGGCTTGCGGTACTCCTGGTGCAGATCGCGAAGCTCGTCACGCACTTGCCGCAGCGTCGCGACGATCTCGGTCTTGGGCGTCGTCGAAGCCACTGCCTCTTCCTCGGTCACGCCCTCTGGCGGAGCAACTGGGTAGTACGCGCTGACGCTTAAGAAATCGACCTCGTCCCAAAAGGTCACAAGCCGCTCGCGGCCGTGGTTGGCGTCGTACGTCAACTGGCCGTCGTACGCTGCGCGAACGCGACGGATCACCTCTCGCCATTCGTCGGCGAAGGACTCGGTCGAGTTCATCTCGCACCCCAGGCAGAAGGCGTCGACGTTTTTCTCGGCGGCGATCTTGGCGTAATGCTCCAGGAAATCGCCGAAGCACGCCCACCACTCGGCCCACGCCGCCTCGTCTATCGCTTCGCCTTCGCGGAAGACAGTCGNNCGCGTTCGGCCTCGCTCAGCGGTCGATAGAACCGGATCCACGCCCGCCAAGTCTGGTCTTCGCAGTTCACCGTCGGCTTGAGGATGACTCGCAGCCCGTTTTCACGAGCAAGGTCGATGGCGTGACGCACTTCGTCGTCGCTCACCATCTGCGAGTTGTTGTCGCCCCAAGTGAAGCGGGGCGTGTCGTAGGTCTTCAGATTCGGCGCGAAGGCGATGCAGACCGTGTCGGCGCTCGTCTCGGCCAGGTTCCGCATCGACTCGGCCGCAGCCGGCGAGGTGTAATCGCCCCGCGACCCCACCCAACCCCACGAGTGGCCTTTTACGAACCCGAGAGGCGATTCGGCAACCGATGACGACAACGCCGCCGCCAGAGTAGCCAAGGCGAGCAGGCATTTAGTCAACACGAAAGGCTCCGACCTGAGGGGGTAGGGCTTCACCGCTCCCAGTGAGCCGGGGCTAGGGCTTCGGAGCTTTGATCTCGAGCACCTGACCGGCGTGCGTGACCTCCACCGTCAGCGGCGTCGTTCGCACGTCGGCGCACTCTTTGGCGATCAGCTTGCTCGCCTTGCCATTGGCCTCTTGAGCGACGAGCGTCACCTTGTGCGGCCCGACCACGAGCCCATCGGCGTACTTGTAGGTCGTGACGTTCTCGAACTTGCCGTCGGGGCCCACGCCCACCATCGCCGGACGCGGGTGCATCCCCTCCTTGGGCGGCGTCTGGCTATGGAAGAAGACCTTCATGCCGCCGACAGGGATCGGCGAGCCGTCCTCGTAAGTGACGACACCGCTCACCGGGACCGACTTGAACGGCCCTCCGCTTCCGCAACCAACCAAGGTGAGGCAGAGCAAGACAACGATTGAGAATTTCATGCCGCTTATATCCCGGGCTTATCTGCCGACCTTCGTTACTCAGATCACACGAGCGTTAGAAGTCGTTGGAGACGACATACCCATCGTCGGGGCAGGTCAGGCGTTGCCACACCCCAAAGATCGTTTCGGCGCAACGAAGCCCGTTCGTCTGGCCACCGGTCTCGACGAAGTCTGAGATGAACTGCACGCTGCCGTCACACATGGTGGCAAAGATACCGCCCGGATGCTGACTGCGGGTGACGATCTGAGCGCTCACATCCCAGCTACTACTCTCGTAGGGAAGCATGCACTCTTGCCGCAAGTACTCCTGCCCGAAGGAAGCGACGACGTCCTGATTCCCAATGATGTCGTCCGAGCCCGGCGTGCAATCGTTGGGACCGAGGGCATAGTTTGAGCCATGCTGCGAGACAAGGTTCGACCCCACCATCTGCATCGCCCACACGCCACGACGGTCAACCGGCCCCAGACCGACGCGCAACTCGAATAGCGCGACCGTATGCGACGTGCCGTCGGTAATCTGCGCGATCGATGCGGCCTTGTCCGCGCCGCCGACGCCACGCCCACAAGTCATGGTCTCGCCATCCGTGTCGAGCGCCACTTTTCTCCAAACGTCTTCGTTGTTGAGAATCAG